AGTGCAGACCCCCATTATTTTAAAAACATCTACTCAACTGGCCTGAATTACACACCCCCATCAGGCAAAGACTCCTCTCAAGGTCAGCTGGAGGATTCTCTAGACAAAAAAAACTGCAGAATAATTTCAGTTTTTAATGAGATGAAAGGCTAGTTGCATTAAAACCAGTAAAAAATTTCAACTATTATCAATGGGGCTAGGGTTTAATTTCTTAATGATCTTGAAATATTATTTATAAATTTATCCACACACATTATGTGGATACAGAAGGAGACAATATATATTAAAAGAGGAAACAGTGATAATAAATATGTTCAAATTTGTAACGTAACTGCCAAATATAATTCCATTTCATTGAAGTTAAAGACTGGTTTTCCAGTCTTTACCCTAGCAGCTCAGATAAAATAACCCAACAGTTCTGCACAAACACTAGAAGACACTGAGCTTAAAAAAATAGATGTGTTTTTCTGCCTGAATTATTTTGTCCTAGTACTGTTAAAAATGACACTGAAAGTTTTACATTTTCACTCTTTTTTTCTCCCTGCACTGTTATTTTTGTAATAGAAAATCTGAAAAAAAGTTTCATTACCTGTAGTTTGTTTTATGTTAATTTTTTTTTTTTCTAAATAAAACCTGACCATTCAGATATTTATTTCTAAAGACCTTCCTTACCAAAACCCCACTGAAAGGAGCATGAATGACTTGGAAGAACCTGTAGGCAAGCCTGCAAAAACACTGCACAGTGAAGCCACTGGACTTCCAGGGACTCCTAAAAAGGGACTGATTCTAGAAGGAAATCCTTTTACTGCAATGTCAGTTTGACATTTAGCGAAATTTAAACTGAGCCTTTATATAAAGGCTTACTTCTCTTGCACTTGCACAAAACACGTGAAACCAAAATTGCTGTGTTTCACCTGCTGCTCAATCCCAACTCTGGGGTTGTACAGGTGCTCCACTGCTCTGGACTGGAACAGCTGCCATGCTGCAAACACGTAATTCAATATTTAAGGTGATAATAATATAGGAGCCTGAACCAGAGCAGCTCTGGCTGCCCCATCCATCCCTGGAAGTGTCCCTGTTCAGGCTGGACGGGGCTTGGAGCAACCTGGGAGAGGGGAAGGTGTCCCTGCCCATGGCAGAGGGTGGGACTAGATGAGCTTCAAGGTCCCTTCCAACCCAAACCATTCCATGATTTTCTGAACAGGCCAGTTAGGTTTAAACTGGCACAATCATCCCTGGAATTACACCAGTCTACACCAGCTCACCTGACTCAATGCATCTGACCTGCTCCAACCATAAGTAAAATTCCTTAAAGGAACTAAAATGTTTCTTTACACCATTCTGAAGTATATGTCCTGGGGCAATTAGAGAAACTCTAAATGTCTGTGCATGTAGGGGAGAAATCAGTAGATTTCTCTCTCCTTGTTAAATTTGAAGTACTTTGATGAGTTGTGAGCATAAACATACGTTCAAAATGTAACTCAGGGTTGAAAAGTAGATGAGTTTTCTTCTGATAGTCCTAAAGTAGTTTTTGATAAGTCAGACTTTTTCCATGAGATACAGAATGGGTAAGATAAAAACTTGTTAAAATTTCATCTGAAGAAATTTTAACTCCCTGAGGGTTTCTAGTTGAAGCCCTTTGAAAATCAGAGCTCATAATGGAAATCATGACAAACTCAACTGCAGCCATGTTGTAAAAATATAGTGAAAATATTCCCAGGAGGCAAAAAAAAAATAAAATCTGAAACTATGTGTTGGGAACCTGTTTTCTCTAAGAAAGATAAGCCAAGGGCTGTCACACACAGTTAAAACACAGACTCATCACTAGTATTGGTATCAGGAGGTTGGTTCCTTCAGGGCTCTGCACCTCCCAGATTCAGAACGCAGAGCAAGAATCACCCCTGGTTTATGAGCATTCATCAGGCAGGCTACACGACACCTGAAGAACAGAAAGGTGGGGTTCCCCTCTCAGTTTCAGACCAAACATATTTCCCCAAGTGGAAAACCAGCTCATGGAGCGGATACCCAGCTGAGCACATCAGCGCACACTTCTCATTTCAAAGGAGAGGGTTTTTGAAAAGCTGAAGATTTGGCTCTGGTTTTGAGCCAAGTGGAAAGAGTGACCAAAGGAAACACTATTTACCCGTTACAAATCAATTTACAGCCACTGATCTTGCACAAGTGTTTTTCACCTTCAACTAGGTAGCTTTTATGGGGAAATTAAATTAAAATTATATCTAATAGGAATTATTCCCTCAGTCTTCTGGGAGAATTGAGATAATTTTATCCTAGAAAGAGTATACAGCTTTAAAGTCCGTATGCTCAACTTCTATCATCCTCTGCTTGTTCTTTTATGTTCACAGCTGCTTGCACTGAAAACAACAGTTAGCAGTGATGGAAAAAATAAAAGGTTTAAATTTTTGCCTCCAGTAACCAAACACAATTTTTTATCTATTCATACACTGAATTCTTTCAATATTTTTCTTTTTTAAAGACTACCTGACCAATACATTGAAAATTTGCAGAAATTTCACTGTCTACATACCTAATTAAGTTACCCATTTATGAGATATATATGTAAAGGTGTTTCAGTCTGAGAAATAAATAAGTTCAACTGAACTCCTTACACAATTTGCTCTGAAATATCTAAATGTTCAATTTATACTATTTTACAAAAAATACTATGGGCATGCTTACAGACATACACATTAAAATAAACCAGTCACTGCAAAAAGCTGCTTCTGCATGCAGGGGAAAATTTGTAAAGTTGTCATGCTTTAAAATATTTTGCTCTTATCATCACCATAAATCATATATATCATATATATATCTATATCTATGATATAGATATAGATATAAATATATATAGATATAAATATAGATATAGATATATATATCTCATCATATATATATATATATCATCATATATATATATATAATCTATGAACACCAGAAGGATCCATTTTGATGGGGGTTGTTTTATCAGCAAATACTCTTCCCTGAAAGATCTTTTTAAACAGATGAGGATAAGCTTTTAAATTACAATCAAACATAGAACAACTTGTTTAACTTTCACCTAAAATGCACACAATTTCAGACAAGGGCATTTTCTAACAAGTTCGTATCAAAAATCTGTGTATCAAAATTATGCATGAAGGTGATCTGAAAAGACTTTATCCCAGTACTTAAAAATTATCTCCTGCATTGTCTTTCAAACAGTTACTCTGAAAATAACACGGGTCTCTAACCTAATTTTTTTTTAATGAAGGCATCATATACTTAAAAAAAAGTCAGTCTAGGACAAGAATAATGTTGAAATACCAGTGTCGATATTATACTGATAACAAAAAGTATTTCTTGAGTTCCTGTTACAGGTTTGATCCAAACTGTCACATAAATTGATGGAAAAACTCCCACTGACTTCAGGGAGGATAAAAAAACCCCTGACCTACGGAAGATACTGTGGTTACTCCCAACAGGAGGAAAAGAAAGTAAACTAAAATAATTAGGGGAAAAGTGACTGTGGTTTAAAAACCAGAGTAACTGAGCTAAAGGAGACCTAAGTGTTTTCTTTATTTAAATGCAGACTTTCATTTTCCATTGTAAAAATTTTGATTTCATTTTCATTAGAAACTTCTATCAAGTTCTACCTGATGATAAATATACATTTTCTTGGTAGCTACAGTGAAGTTACTTCACATGAAGGAAGGCCTCATTGGAGAGGTGACCAAAAAATCCCTGTGTATAGCAGTAAGAGTAAGAACTAAATATTGCTAATATATAGTTTAAATTAATCCTACTTTGAACATCACAGTTTCAAGCCTGCCTATTCAGGATAACTATTAGTACAAAAAAAAAGAACCCACAAACCAGCAAATTCTTGCCTCACTTAAATGAATCTGATGCTGTGGCATTCCCCATCACAAGTAAAGAATGATTTCAGTGGCATTCATGCATGGTCCAGTCTGACTCAGGCCAGCAGCTATCAGACCACCACGGTGTTTGCTTATCAGCCCTTCCTTCAAATTCCTGTGCTGAGGCTCAACCCCATCCCCTGATGGCTGCTTATCTGAGGGCAGACAGGATTGTTTTTATTCCAGTGTGAAGGATGTGGCTGGGCTGCATTTACAGGAGGAAGCAGCGGCCGCTCCGTGTGCACAGGTTGGGGTGACTCATCTCACCCCAAAGTTATCTCTTAGGGACTGCTGATAAGCCAGCTTAGGGACAACTCATGAGGGAGAAAAACACTGCCAGGAGGCATCCTCAGTCAGGGCTCATCTCTTCCCACTGAGACCCAGGGAACAGCAGAGCAGCCACCTGGAGCTGGTGGAGATGATCTGCACCCAAACCAAGCACACGGAGGTGGGTGTGTGTGTGCCTGTGCATGCACGCAGGGTTAGGGCAGCTGCCTCCATAAATATGCCATGTGCAGCACAGCAGTCACATTGATAAAAACCCTGGACAGGGAATGAACTGCTGAACGGGAGACAAAAAGGAATTAAATCTGCTGGGCACGCTTGTTATAGACAGCTATATTTTTAGGGTAAGCTTATTTATTAGTTCTGCCTAAAAATGAAGAAGCTAATGTGTATCATGATCAAGCTGCAAAACTTGAGAGTAAACAGAGAGTTAAGGAAATCTAATGGGTCTGTATCTAGTCTGGACCTCTAGGGTGCTTCACCTCTTTAAGTATAATACTTATTTCCTTATATAAACGTTTTAACATGCAAAAAGGGCATCTGGATGAATCCCCTGAATGCTCCTATTGTAGCAAACACAGCCCTACTGCTTTTGGGGTATCTAGACAAGGATTCTAAGTTATATTTTCTCGAGTTTGGTGATGGAAGCTTAGGGTGGCTCCCCCCATACACCTCTAAAGGTGTTTTTATGTGTGTACTGGCACATGCAGGTGGGTATACCGCTATTTTTTTTTTTTTTAAACTACATATATTCACTATAAATTAAGAAAAACAAACAATATCATGGTAATAAAACCCAAAAGAGAGAACAAAACAAACACATACAAAGAGAAAAGCAAACCTTGATTTTAGCAGAATCCAAAATAACATCAAGATTGCAAAGATCAGATTTATTTATATTTTTTTTAATCTTTTTTTTTTTTAAAGTTTATGACTGATTCAGATCAGGCTCTGCCATATTCCCATTCTCTGGAAAGACAGGAGGAAAATTGTTATTAAAAGTTGCTGGAAACTCTAGTGCGGCATCGTCATTTTGATAGCCCACGTACGAATTAAACGGCTGCTGAGGAAGTACTTGGCTATCAGGCATCTGCACAAAAGCCCCTGACTGTGTGGTAGGGGGGATTCTTTGGCCAACTAGTTGGATTTTAGGTTCCCTGGGCTCCAGTTGTTGCTTGCTTTCTTCGTCCGTGTCAAGACGGGTTAGCTTTTCTATCCACATGCGGAATTTCTCCTCTGTCTGCCTCTGCATCTCGGCAAAGCAGTTCATGGCCTCTTCCAGGACATTGCCTATGCAGTTCCTATCCCACACGGTGCCCCTGTCAAGCAATCCTGGAATTTCCCTGGTCGCTCCTCCAGATCCCCCAGCACGACTGAAGCCAGCTTTAAAGACATTGAGGCCATTTGATAAGACATCATAAAGTAAGAACATAATATTGTTTATTAAGGCATGTTAACTGAGGAAAACAACTTTTCTAATTCTGCCCCTTGGATATGACAACAGGAGAGGAATTAGCATATATTAACCAACAATATTACTCTTTTAATGAACGTTTACACCAACTGAGGTTATAATAGAAATTTTGGCATCAAAATTGTTTTTATTCTAGAAGTCAGACAATTCTGTCACAAAGGTCTCTTGTTTTACCAAATTACTCCAGTTCCCTTGCAATTTGTTTTGAATTCAACTGAAGGTGCCAAAAACATTATACAATAACATGCTTAGTTCTATTAAGCTGCAATCCAAAATGCTATTTTTTTACTGACAAACCTGAATAATTACATGTGTTTTACTTACACACTTAGACCCTTTTAATAAATGGGCTGTTAAACAAAGGTGGAATTGGCCCAAAGCTCTTGGCCTGATTTTGGGAAGCACACAGAACGCCAATGAGAACAACACACAACACAAAACAAAAACATGGGGAGGGTTATGTGAGTGGTATGCTGACACAGGAGGGGAGAGCATCCTCTGCCAGGCGTGATGGACACAGCCCCATCACAGGGACAACCTGCACACCACGGAGCCCTGACCAGCCTCACACCTGAGCCACCATTCCCACAGTCAGTCCCAGGCAAGGCAGAAAATAGGGAATGGTTGGAAGGGAACTGCTCTGCTTCCACTGGCTGTCCATCAAAGGGATGGTGGTAATGACTGGCATTGGGATTATCAGGAAGAACTGCAGCAGCCAGAATCTGAGCCAACCCTCATGGCCTTACTCTACGTATCAATAACAAAAGGCAGTGGAATCTATATTTTAAAGTCTAGAGTTCACTCAGCAATTATCTAAGAAGCAATAAATCCCCAAGAAAATGAAGCTCTGTACCCATTTGAGGAATCATGAACAGTATGTGCATGCCATCCAAACACACAAATGTTACCTAAGGAAATTCCAAAACAAGATAAGCATCACATTAAACTACACAAAGGTACAGAAGATGGTAATTTAATATCTAAATGTGAAACTTGTGGCACCTTCTATCTTAAGAATAATAGAAAATACCCTAAGAATGAGAGAAATCATTGCACAACCTAAGTATTTACTAATAAAAATCTAAGGCACTAAACCTTTATTGGGATTTCACTGAGTACATGAAATTACAGTATCACTTAAACACTACATTCTTTTTAGGAGCTGTTTAAATGAGGTATACACAGATCCTTCAGTAACAGCTAAACAAAGCCCAGGGTTATTCCCTTATTTCTGAAGAGTAGTTTTTAAGTCTTTCTCACCTGTTTGCCTATCAGAAATGCTGGAAATTCAGCATCCAGGTCCTCTGCTAAAAATATTTACCTTATAGCAACTAATTTACATCCTTCCAACTGCATTTTAACTAACATGAAATAAGTAAAATGGTACCTTTTTTCCTAAAACATGGCTCCTTTTATATTCAATTATTTTTTTTTGCTCCCTTAAAGTATTTCTTCTGTTCATTTAGTTCTAGTACTGAACATCCCATACGATTCTGTTTATTTCTCTTTAGTCCAGATCTTACCTTAAACTCAGGAACTAACTTACAATCTTTCTGATTTCCACAGACATATGAATAAGTAATGTAATTTTTAATTGCAATTTAAATAAAAACTATTGATGATGATAAGTGAAACAATCCTTTCAGGTTTTAAAAGTTAAGAATGAACTGGAATGATCAAAGTGGACAAAATTGTTATGTAACCTGAATAAAGTATGTATTGATATACATATAGCCCTTCGATACAAATTTTAAAAGGCATCATTCACAGAGTATCTCAAATTTACAGCAGCAGCAAAACAATGCTTTAAATGCTTCCCATGCAGTTACTACAAGAATCCTTATTCAATCTTTTCTTTATTTTAGGGTTAAAAAAACCCCCAAGCCTAAAAATGCAATTTACATACTAAAAATGCTAGCCTTTATTTAATTGGTCCCTCTTGTGTCTATAAACTTTGAACTGTACTTTTTTTAAATATTCCATGTTTAAAGGGAAAGAAATTATAGGTCACAAAGGGGTCAGAATCAAAGATTCCTCTCTCATTTTCCAGATGACACCTCCTGCAAAACAGCACCTAAGAAACGCCCCAATGCTGTCTTTTTATGGGATCTCAAGTACAATCTAAGTAATAACCAAATCCAAAGCAATTTAATTTAGGAAGTCTGGCAACATAATAATATAGGATATGCTTTATCTTCATTTTAGCTAGCAATAGTTGGTTCCTCTGTGTTATTCTGCTGCAGACACTTCCAAATTAGTATTTTACAGCATATCATCCTTAAAAGACTGTTTCTTTTTCCTATCTATTAACTATAATTGTCATTCTGAGTTACTTGTACCAAATTCTTCCCATGAATGATGCCTCATCCAAGATCTATGCACAGTTCTTAGGAGGAAAGAACCTGTGCCCATCTCTTTGGCCATATTTTAAAAGTCTTGCCTTTTTTTTGACAAAGTGAGATGCAATTTTTTCAACATTAACACTCAAACTTTTTGACAGATTTTTGTGACAGCCTAAAACATGAGTCATCCCCATTTCAATTCAGATTTTTCTGAGTAGTAGAAAGCACAATGGTGGTAAAATACAAAATATTTTTGTATATTATTTGAATTTTTAAAAATCCCTTACTTCTTCCAAGAGAGATGTATTTACATAGCAATAAATATTGATTCCCAGACTTGCTGTCATGCCAATTTCATTCAGAGTTAATGTGCAGCATCACATGTGAAATTGTTCTAAAGGAAAAACTTCCTACTACAGCAGGAAGTCTAGCAGAATCTATTTCAGGACTCTAATGCCATGTTTATGGTGTTGAAGAATGGCATAATCCTAAATGCCAACAGACAGGCTCATTAAAAGGTAAAAAATGACTGCTCATCTGCAATGATCCAAAAATCACAGCATTCTTGAAATAAAGAGCCAAAGATTATGACTGCTCACATCAGTGAAAAGGTTCTTAGGAGCACCCCTGAAGTTTAGACTGAACCTATTTTCAGGTGTACATTAACACCACAGGATGCATTCAGAACACCATAACTTACATTGTGCTGAGCTGTGCAGCTCACAGTACTTGTGTTGATGTATCACCAGTAAAATCTCGACTCTTCAGTCTTTCTTGAGGAGAAAAACAACCTGCCACTATTTTAACCCAAATCCCTCTAAGTTCAGCAGAGAGACCTGGCTATATATTGTACAACTTGTCTGTTTGTAACTTCAGGGTGTCATCATCATCATGTATTTCACTGAACATCTTTACCTTACAAATTTAGCCAAACGTATTTCAGAGCCAGTGATGTATACAGTTTAAAAAAGAGTTTATTTAAACTACTGCAGTTTTTAAATGGAAGAGTTTTAGTGACACAACATGAAAGACTATTGTATTCTGAAATGTTGCAATTTAATTTTTCAAACCACACACAAGTAAACTTCCAGCTGTAACAGGACCTGTGTTTGCAGCTTAAGTCTGTGTAATTTTTGTCACAAGGGCCAAATTAACTGTCACTAAAAATTTTAAAGCATCTCTGTTGGCAAAGCTGTTTTTCAGCCAACAGAAGGCTAAAGATGAAAATTATACAAAAATAAGTGATACTGAGTAAGTAACCAAGACTGCAGCTGAATGTCCAAACACAGACTAAGGGGAACACATGCTGCCTGTAAAAAAAGACTTCTGCATCAATGTGTAGAGGTAACTCTTAAAAGTCAAGGCAAAAGTTTTTCATGCTTATGTCCTGACACTGAAGTCAAACCTTTGAGATTTCCACTGTGTGCAGAGAACACTGAAGGCCCGAAATTCCACTAACACTTTTTGATACCCTGTATTGTTTTCCACCTACATGTCTTCTCTCTCAATTTTGAGGCTATTCACAGTGTTTTGCTAGGTGCACTAAAAGGGTTTTCTAGCCAGAAAAAGGAACTGAGTCCTTTGCCAGCTCCAGGCAGAGGGTCAGCAGATGGCCTGGGAACCCACCGCTGCGCTGGAGCACTGGGAGTCCGAACAGACTCGCAGCTCCACTGCAGCTCTGAAAACCACATCATCTCTTTCACCCACAAGAAGAACAGGATGCGTTTTTTGGACAAACCACATCCTTATCTCTACAGAGGGCATTTTTCTCTCGCACTTGGAAGGCGTTTCCCACAAAGCAAAGCCGTTTCTAGTCAGAGGAAAACCGCAATGTGGCAGGTACGCATCGCACCCCGTCACACCAAGGGGGCAGCTCAAACCTTTTAATGTCTTAAACAGAACTCAGTACTGAGCAGATGACATGTGCTGTGAAATTAGAAAAAATATTAGTATCCCTCCATTGGCATGTGCAGTTTGTGCACTCTTGCAGTGCAGGTAAAACTGGGCCTTGGTGTAATCATCACTAATAGTCAAGCTCTTCATGGGATGGGATCCCTTCACCAAAAGCATCTCATGGTCAGGACCAAGAGTCAAATACGGGGATACATAAAAAATATCCTGGAGTGGCTTCAGGTCCTCACAATGGCCCTCAGAAACCTAAGCAGACCCGAAAATACCATGTGGTGCCATTCTTCATCACAAGGTACTTTTATGACTTAAAAAAAGAATGTGACTGAGGGACTTATTCTGTGTGTTTTGCGGTTTTTTGAGAAGTGGGGAAGAACCTGTCCCAAAAACCAATGAAACAGTTTTCTTCAACAAGATTTAAATTAGGCTTAAATTACCCAATATGTAAATATTATAAATAAAAAATTAAAAACTGTGAAAACTACAAGACTAACTACTAAATTGGTAAAAATAATTTTAGATCACTATTAAAAGTCTACGACACAATAATTATAGGAGGACAGTATGCCTTTTCCAGACATTCTAATAATAAACATTTACTTCCTTTTTGCAACCTGCTTCCTAGCAGGTGTGGGAGAAATGCCAGTTTTCATGGTGACAGCATCATCCACCATAATCAACTCAGTTAAATCAGTTATTTGTAAAATCTGCTGCAGTATTTTAAATAATTAATCTAGAAAGCATTAGTTCAGCAACTTAATATTGCAGTTTTACTTTAAATGTTCTTGCTCTCTGTAAGATGTTATTTTTCTCAAAAAGAAAAAAAACTTCTAGCACAACAGGCAAAAAGGCATGTAAACCCAGTAAAAATTGGCAAGCAAAAAAGTTTATTTTTACGTATTTTTATTTTTATGGATTTTATTTCTGATTGCCATATGATGATGGTTCTATGGTATAATATGCTGCAAGAATAATCCACACAAAATCCTGTCCACAGCACTTGGACTAATAAAATAACAGAGACTCAGCAGACAAAAACCTTGAAGAATTCAACTTTCTTTTGCTAGTAAAATGACACTAATAAATTGACAAGAAGGCCCTTATAATTTGCTGCCTCCCATCTTAACAAAGATGCGTCAGAAAGTTAGAAGTGTAGAAATTATTGATCCTAACGACATAGGAAAATGGTAACAACTTTGTCTAAAATGTTGAAAATTTAGGTGTGTGTATATAGCTTGGGTACCTTTGTAATCATATCTGTATCCTAAAATAGGTGACCAGCTGCAATCTGGAAGAACTTAGAATAAGGCTAAGCAGGTTTGTCATGCACTGACGTGTTGAGCTGAAAGCACAGAATAAGTGCAATAATGGCCAGGGCCTTACTGTTACACAGGCAAGAGGTGTGCTGTGCCATTTCTAACACGGCTGCCAAGCTGTGGGCCTTTATATATTAAAGCAAAGCTGGCCACTTATCTTAAGAATTAAATTATCACCATCTAAGGGGATTTGACAGCACTGACATGAGTTCATATCGGCTTACAAAGATCTGAAAAATCCAGAATTCAAAGGTAGTCCTTCCTCCCATTTACCATTGCTATGCTTTGTTGGTGTGCAAAAGTGCACAGGAAGCTCAGAACAGATTTTTTTAAAATTTGCCCACGTCCTGTCATTACACTGCAGTCTTCAAATTTACACAGAGCTGCAGTTCTCCTGGGTTTTTCTCAAGTGTCACTCATCTAACTTAGCATGACAGCTGAGAAACGATGTCAGGCGCGTTACAGTTCAGTTTAAAAAACATCCTCTACCTGGTATCTCTGCAGTGATTGTCTTGCTGCTCCCTGAAACCTCTTCGTCGTCGTCTGACGAGCTCGTGCTGGAGTCACAAGTCAGGTCACTGTCGCTGGTACTGCTGTCCTGCAGCAGGTTGTACTTCTTGCGAGCAGCTGCCTCCCGCTTCTGTCTCAAGAGCCGGATCCTCTCTTTGTGCTTTTGGCTCCGGTGACCCTTTACCTTGGTAACTCGGCCGTTCTGCTTATCGCTAGACTGTCGGTTTTTCTTGGCAGCCATTGTTGAAGTCTCACTTTCGGACCTGGATCTCCTGGATTTCCTCCCAACTGCAGCTCCAGACACCGCAGAAGGGTCTCCCTCTGAGGCGGCTTCGGCTTGGCAGGGCTCATTCTCCTCTGCGGAAGACAACGTGTCTGAGTCAGCCAAATGCCCACTGGAGGAAGGGGAAAGCATGCAGTGATTAGAAGAGTCACTCTCATAAACTCGGCCACCCGCTGGCTTATCACTCTCTGTAGATGCCAGCTGAGACTCCGAGGAGTCCCGCCTCAGTTCCATCAGCAAACAAGGCATGGAAGAGAGCACTGCAGAGTCTGCTCCAGTGGGCACGCTGTCCTTTTGAGGTTGTGTCTCGAGTTCTATAGGCCTGACTTCATCAGGAGTAGTCTCTTGCTTTTCAGAAATCTTTGGTGGAATTTCTGAATCAACAAGTTCTTCTGCTTTTCCTGCTGCCTCCATCTTCATTGCAGAGCAAGATCCTTCCAGTCTCAAAGCATTGAGCACGTTGTCTAGGGGGCTGGGTGAGCTAGATGTGGTCTCCAGCAGTGCAGAAGCCTGCACAGGAACAGAACAGTAGGAAAGAATTACACAAGTAACTCAGCCTGCTCTTCACAGTGTTACCTTAAACAACTCAATTTCAGTTGCAGACAGAATGGGTTTACAGAACCCCAGAGTGGTTTGGATTGGAAGGAACCTTAAGATCATCCAGTCCCATCCCCTGCCATGGCAGGGACACCTTCCACTGTCCCAGGCTGCTCCAAGCCCCAGTGTCCAGCCTGGCCTTGGACACTGCAGGGATGCAGGGGCAGCCCCAGCTGCTCTGGGCACCCTGTGCCAGGGCCTGCCCACCCTCCCAGCCAGCAATTCCTTGCCAATATCCCAGCTGGGCCTGCCCTCTGGCACTGGCAAGCCATTGCCTGGGTGCTGGCCCTGCAGGCCTTGTCCCCAGTCCCTGGGCAGCTCTCCTGGAGCCCCTTTAGGCCCTGCCAGGGGCTCTCAGCTCTCCCTGGAGCCTGAATACTTGTGCAGGGGAGCAGCCCCAGCTCTCCCAGCCTGGCTCTACAGAAGAGCATCTTATTTCTCAGCATCATGTTGCTTTTCTTAATTTACCTTTTCCTAGGGAACTCATCCTGCTACACCAAATTTTTCTTTCATTTACTTGCCCACAAAAAAATGGTACTGGAGTTACATCAAATGGGGCTCCCAGTGGAACCATTCTGTATGAACCTTATATACCAAAGACTTATTAAATAAAGAAGTGCTACTGAATCATCAAGTAAAGATGTTTTAGGAATATTTAATACACCATTTGGAAAGTGTTTGAGTGTCTCCCATGTATATGAGAACCTCAAGGCTGATTTAGTTTCTCTCAAATCTGCCAGGAAAGAAGCATTAAAGAGTAGGGGCTGCAAGCAAGAAACATTATCTACCCACACCATTATCCTACATTTTACTTCAAATTATAATTTAATAAATTGCATTGGTTCAGTGCAAATACAAAGACCAAGCTGTTTATTTGACTGCTAACTTGCACACTGTCTACCCAAAAGTACCTGAAGCAACTTCAAGGAAATTTTCTTGGAGAGATCAATAGTTACCATTCTGTCTTCATTATTCACACTTTGCCTTTCACCTGAATTTCCTCTTGGAATATAACACAGAATAAAGATCTTTCAATTACCACATTCACTTACAGATGAATGGCATGGAACAAATACTTTACAGCTTCAAAAGTATAGTAAATGATAAATTTATGGCAATTCAAAAAACAAAGTGTAGGCAAGAAAATGCAACAGTGAGATCTTATCTGAAAAACCACATTTCTGCAGAGAAGGCCAATCAGCACTTGAGCACCCTGAGGAAGCATGGATGGTTCAGAAAGATTTCTCTGTACACTGAGAATCCTTCTTCAGTTTCCTGATCCATTCTAAGCTGCCTGTAAGCATGTAATGGTATACATGTATGTAATACACAATACAAGGGTACTTTCCTGTTTCTGAAAGGTGCTGTGCAAAGCTCAGCATTGTCCTGTGTGCCCTAATCCACTTTGAAACTTCATTTTTAGAGAATACTAAAATAGTGTTCATGCTTCCTTCAGGCTAATGAATTAACTGCTGTTTGGTGCAAGGAAATGATGAAAATACTTGTGGGTGAGAAGCACCAGCTAAGGAAACAAAAGTTGGTTAATATCAAACATCACTAGAAAGATGGAGACGACAAGACCAGGTCTGCAAAATATGAGGAAACAAACACAAAATCCCAAACAATAAACTCATCATTTCCCTTCCAAAAACCAGAATAAAATGCATGTTGTAGAATAGAGGAACATGTGTATCAGGAAAAATATTTATGCATACTTGCAATGAGTAACCCTCTCTTGAAAGCAAGTTTAGAGAAGACTTTCTGGAGACAGTAATTTCATCTAAGCAGTAAATACCACGTAGGAACAATTTATTTCCAAGGCTACAGCAGGCATCAACAAACCCAAATGATGAATACACACGTTCTGAGACATAAATGCGTGTCAGAAAAATCAATATTTCTATGTAATTTGCTCACAAATCTGTATTATCAAATAATTCTCCTATTATACAGGTAAATAAAACACAGATTTGATGATGGAACAAGTGGAATTTGTATTGTACCTGCTAGTGCAGCTCCCAGTTTCCTCTGGCCATGCATTTTAAAATGAAAAGTATCTTCTCTTAAGCGTCTAAGAAATGTACACATAGGGAAAGCATTGGTTGCTCAGACACAAACCAAGAGTATTAGCTTGGCCAAATGAAAACATACTTAAATATTCATACTAATAACTGCAGAACAGTTTCTGCACTGTTCAACCTTTTAGCCTAGGGAACACAAAGAACAGAGCTTGACACGAAGCTAAAGGGCAGCCAAAGTCAGCTGTAGACTTTTTTCCATGAATGTCCTACTCGGAAACATCATTTACCTCACAGCTCCCAAAGGGACTGTAACAACACCTGCACTTGCCTTTCCATCTCTCTGGTCTATCAGCCAGGAAAAAATATGCTTCATCTGCACATTGCCACCTTGCTAACAGCTCTATTACAATGATTTTATTGGATTTTTTTAATATTAAGTGTGATCTTTAACTACTCCAACCAGACTGGTTTGATCCCTCACAGTGATTTTCAATGAGTTGGTAGTAGAGGAGGGAATAGTAATTTTATGACACTGGCATGTTTCTCTGTATATAGAAAGAAACCCATGTGTTCTGGTAAGGTTTGTACTCTACAAGTCCATTGAACTGGCTCTTTAGACGTCACCAATTCCATTACTTACACACATATATATATAAAAACCAGAGCTTTTCCTTCCTCTCAGAGGCAAAAAAACCCTATCATGACTCAGACTATGCTGCAGGGAAGAACACAGTTTGGCAGAAACTATCTAGCCAAGGAAAGTCTTGTCTCAAAGAAAGAAAAAAATGTCCTTATTTAGTTCTACCTGAAAAATGTAGAGAACAGCAAGAAGAGACTTAGTTGAAAAACTCTCATTCCTTTCTTGCCACTCACCTTTCTAGTAACAGTACTAGAAGAGGAAATCTCAAGGTGGTACTAGTGAAAGGACATTTTTCTACTCAAATGAGAACACAGCATTGAAAAATAAGTTGTGATTACAGGCACAGATGGATACTTAATTAGACACTGATCAGAAATGGCATTCTCCTTTTACTGATGAACAGATACTGCAATGACAATTTCAAAAGGCAATTTTATAAAAAACTTCTGCACTGGATTTTTCCAACAGAAAAATGTTATTTTCCAAGTCACACATAGAACACATCGGTGTGCAGAAACCATTAAATTATCCTGGGAAATATTTTCAAATCATGGATCATTTGTAAAGGCACACAATTTGTACACAAGGGAATCTGCACTTCAGGGAAGAAATCCAGAAGGATTTTGAAGGTCAGATTTACAGACACACCTAGCCTCTCTGGGTGTTGTCCCCATTCTTTTCCCACCTAACTGACTTCAACATCGTATTTCCTGCTGTGCACAGAACTGGCTCACCCTTCTGTGGGTAGACTCCTTTCAATCAGCCAGCAGAAACCAAAATGAGAAAGTAAGTGACATTTTCTGCCACAGCTCGCAGGAAGGGAAGGGAGAACAAGCACAAATCATCCCTGTAGAAAAAAAAACAAATCTGATTAAAAGCTGCCTGCTGTTTTGTATCATCACGCCTTGAACTCACAGGTTCTGCCTAGATAAAGGAGAGGGTCCTGAGCATTCCTTCATGGCACTGTTTGCTCTGAGACTTTTCTAAATTGAAAAAAAATAAATTTTAACAGCAAAAAGCCTCAGAGGTGATAGTAGCAACCTAAAGAACAATTTTCATGTAATATATATATACACTATGGCACAAAGACTTTTATTAAAAATAGCAGGTTTCCCAGAGCAGAGTCTCAGGCATCAGATTATAAAAATAAATAATTTAACAGAGTGTTAGAGCAGCAGATCGGCTGTGTGTCTCTGGAGAGTGACCATGAACAAAGACATCCCCAGGAAACTACACAATTTAGGCACCTGCCCCTCACCCATCTTGCCTTGCACCTCTTAGTTCACTGCTGATTTCTGAGGCCTTACAGCACCTTATTGGGTTCCTTCTCCATGTCCAGGCAGGCTGTTCAACGTGTGTGGAACTGCAGCTTCTGCTGATGGCTGTTGCCTGATGATCTCTGGTTTGAGCTGCTGGTGTCGCTGCTCCCTGGCAGAGCACAGAGAACTAAAAAAGCCCTCACTAACGTAAACAGTACTTAGCAGCAACTAAAATATCCGTTTGTTACTGATGTCCTTCTCACAACACAGACAAAACACAGCTCTGTATCAGCTATTAGGAAGATTACTAAGGAAATTAATTCCGTTCCAGAAACAAACATTTCTAGCTGTAAGTTTACAGCTTAAGGTTGAAGGCTTCATCAAATCCAGCTACTCAGGCCAAGCAATCAACATACTAATCACCTATCATATATTAACAGCTAGAATGCTACTCATTCTACTTACAGCTTACTTAAGCTGAACAAGGAAATATCTCTTAACAGCCTGAATACTTAATAAACCCCATGACACCCTAACCTTAATTGTACATTGTCATTTTAGTTGTTATTGAGCTGACTAATGATAAAGAATTCCTAGCTTGTGTGAAGCAAACCAGCTCTTCTTTTTCTGAAGGAAAAAGGACAGGACAGTTTCTTGTTTTGGAGGTACTGGTGTTCTCACAGCAGCTTGCTGGAAAACTCACTTTAGCTTATTACTAACACATTTCCTCTTAATCATAGTCCCACAGACAACAGTTCCCTGCTTATGGTCGCATCACCTTCTTATGCCAATTCTAGCAATTGTTGAAATTAAAAAAAAAAATGTCTAGCAGAGCACTACCTTTTAATGCCCTTTCAGTTAGTGCTGAAAGAATACAATTTGAACAACCCACCTCCTCTCATCACTTACCATTCCACTGGAAGCCATAATTTTTTTTAAAAATAAGAAACTGTACCTATATTATTGCAGTAAATAACACTGAGTGCATTCTTTAGGCTTTTGTGATTATATAAATGAAAAGTTAAACTACAGTGCTGCATACAAGTTATTTGTTTGGAGTACACAGTTAACCAGAGATCCTTCCAGATTCTTCCAACCCCATAGTTTCACTGCCACAGAAGTCAGTTGTTTTCATCTAAATCTGAATATGTTTTGATATTTATAAGGAACTAACTGCTGTAATGGCTCATTTTTACACAATTATTTCCATCACCAGTGGATTACATTATCTCACATTTACCCAACAGAGATGGAATAAATCAGAGGTGTGAGAGAGGTAATGACAAATGCTTAACACAGAGGCTAATAACATTATGCAAAATAGCTGACTATTTTTAAAAATGTAAACACACAGACAAGCTCATTAAGAACTCTGACTCGAACACTTGATAGACTGTGTGTCTGAGGAGGGTGGGTTGGGAAAGGAGAGAAGGTACACACAGCCTGGGTACTGAAGGGTTGACTGCAATGCACGTCTGCTTCATAATACAGGATAATTTTTTGGCAAAAAGCCAAAGTTAGGACCTCTTCTGACAGAAGGACATGTAATTCTGAAAATGTGAAGTGCTAATGAACCTGTCCACTTCCAAAGCTTCACCAAAACCCTTTGCAGGTATAGCTGTGTCTCAATCACGCTTTTTTCCTTCTTAAATCACCTTCCTTTCCACTGAAAATCAACACAATTCATTCAGTGTACTCACCAGTGACATTTTAGTACAAAAAACACACACAGATATCAGAGAATCACATAATGGTTTGGGTTGGAAGGGACCTTAAAAATGATCCAGTTCCAATCCCCTGCCAAGGGCAAGGACACCATCCAGTAGATCAAGCTGTTCCAAGCCCCATCCAGCCTTGCCTTGGACACTTCCTGGGACGAAGCATCCTGTACCAGGGTCTCACCACCGTCACAGCCAAGAATTTCTTCCTAATATCTCATCTAAACCTACTCTCTGTCAGTTTAAAGCCATTACCTTCTGCCAGACAGCACAATGCTTAATTAACTAAAGATTAATCAATTCAAATAATCAGTCATCTATCAGGAAAGACTGATCTGCACCCAGACAAATGTAGAAAGAAAGACTTTCTGGACTTCCCAGGTTGTTCAGCTCATCCCAAAGATACCACATGTTCCTTTTCATTTTCTTTTAAGTGTCACACAAACTGGTGCACTTAGAACAAGAGAAGTGTGACCAGCACTCAGTCAATTTAACTCAAGACAGTTGACTCAGCTCTGTGTGGATGTGTGTGCACGATGCTTCACAGCAGATTTTTCATAACACTGAGCCGCCCCCACAGGGATACTGTGTAATTTATATAGCGTTCCTTTGAAAATGCTGCCCTGAAGCTGACTCACTGGCATGCGATTCTACCTAAGGCACATTTCTGGGAGGGGAGCTGGATCTTCATCAGATGATTCACAAATCAGGCCTGGTAGCAACCCCAAAGAATAGGATCCTTTGGATCCCACAGAATTGCAGTGCAAAACAAAAGAAGAAAGGATTAAACTAATTCTGTGTTTCAACTGGTTTTGCATAAATAAATGAAGGTTAAAAACAGGCTGCTCCTACTGAGTGCTCAACAGGCTGCATACACAAATTACCCAAGACTGAATACAAATTACAAGTGTATGTGTTAATACAATGCATTTTTTATCCTACATAAGAAGCGAGACTGCTATTTAAATACAGGTTTTTGCATTGTAATGCTTAATGCACATATTCTGCCTCTTTCAAAGGACAGGCAAGTACCAGCTAAGGTTTTACTTCACAACTCCACACACAGGCTTCCATAAAACATTCACCAGCTGCACTTGGAACCCCACAACAAAAAAATTACAATCCTTGCACACAGATAAAAGCATGCAGGGTTGGCTGCACTTAGCCTCATAAGAATATCCTTTTTTCCTCATAATGAAACCATTTTTCTCAAGGGCACAACAGTTTAAAGTCTATGAAGCTCCCTACTCTAAAAATTAGAGGGGGCATATCTTTATTACAACCTGTTTCTAAAACTTTAAGTGATTCACTTTTACACTTTTTCTTTCATAAAACAAGTGGCAGAAATCAACATAAATAAAGTTCCCTCTTCTCTCTGCTATGCATTGGCTTGCAGGAGGTCACCCTACAGAGGATCATCACATGGATGGACCATCTTTTTCTAAGATACTGAGTTTAACAGATTTTCACACTTTACCTATCTCATTTCTTTTCCTTGAATGAAATGGGCTCTGTGCTTCCCCATTATATATAAGCAGATCTCCTCAAGAAATACTGTCCTACCACAATCAAAGTAATGCTGACATAAAAGCCACATTTTGAATTGCTTGTGCCCCATGTAACAAATAAATCCTAATTTTCAGAGCAGAAGTTAGGAACATGTACCTGAGCTATCCTGAAAGCATTATATCTATACACATATAGCAGGATATCCTGATCCTGATCATCATTGTGTCATTTGCCAACAGCTCCAACTGGTAGATCAGGACAACTGCAATGTAACCTCAGAGCAGTAAATCCATCTCAGCAGTGGCGTATTCACAAAATCATAAAGGTTAGAAAATACCTCTAAAATCATCAAGTCCAGCCTTCAACCCAGCACCACCACCATGGTCACTACTAAACCATGTCCTCAAGTGTCACATTCCACAGCAATTTTCCAGCATCTCCACATCTCCCACACCTACCCAAAAGCTCAAGGCACTGAACTATATTAGCTGTGGGTTTACGACAGCATTTAACAAAGATGAGTTATGAGATACTAAGTAACTCTACAGCTTGTAAATATTTTATGGACAGACGTTTTTACACATCTTTGCCATGGGAACCAAATAAAACCGACCCTCAGGAATTTTAAAGTTTCAAATGCTTTAATTCAACACCAATGAATAGTTTTGCCATAAGGTATATGGCAATAAGATACCCATTCTGTGGTCTCACCATTAGGTCACATATCCAAATTCTTCTGTAGAATTTGGACACATCCAAATTCAACAGAAGGGCTGAAAAGGAGCTGCTAACCCAACAAGCCCTCATCTCAAATTGTTTTCTTATCCACATAGCCACTCGTATTATTCACTTGCTTCTTTAATTTAATTTAAGCTAGTAGTATCAAATCTAAATACTATAATACAGATTTACAGGAGTATACCACTGAAAAATAAATGGTATCAGTACACTAAAGACAGTCATGTGGCATTCAAATGATGAAATTTAACAGCTGTTGGGCTGCTGTTCTTGACACCAATTGACTAGTACCAAGAAGGTGCCAGCTGATTTCAGCATCCACCAGATTGCTAACAATCAGCAGTCTTTATGTGTCCAAAGTGCTCCTAAAAGAACAAAGGATTCATGTCATAGATCTCAATATGAAGCAAACACAGAAGCTCTACAAATGAACAAAAGCTATCTTGAGTATTTAAAAAAAAGAACAGACTGGGCCAAAAACCAGCCATGGGTGTGATACCAAAGATGCCTCTAACATGGGCTTTACTATCACATACTTTCTACAGTATTTACTTCCAGTTGGCAGAGGAGAAGAAATTTGAGCTCTACTTCAAGAGAACAACAGAGACCAGAAAGCATTTCTTTCCCACAACACACAAAAGACTTTGCATGTATTTGACTGCAGAAACGAAATAACAGTAAGAAGATATACCAGGTTACCAACTACAAAAAGATAAAAAGAAAATGAAAAGGTAGTTTTCAGCAGTACCATGCAAGCAAGTACTGACAGGAAGAAAAAAAAAAACTTTTAAAACTCCATTAAACCTCTCTTTTCCCCCCTCCCCACAAAAAAGCCCTACAAATCAAACAAGCCTTAAAATGCATCTTTTATCTCAAAACTACTTCTTACATTATTATTTCTGTTTAGAAAAAAGTGGTTCAGCTGGCAGAACTAATGGTTAGCAACAGGAGATATAAACTATATAAACAGCTTTCCAGTAAAAGGGGAGATGGAAGGAAAAAACAGAAAGAGCATGGAGCCTGGATTATCAATTCAACCTCATTCCACTAATTCAACACAGCCTTATTGCTGCTGGAGTTGGAAAGTTCCATATAGACAAAAAATTAAATCCATTACAGGTGTTAAAGCAGTAATAAAACCCATTCTGATCTTGTAAAACAAGGGAAATCAGCTGTCTGTTATC